AGAAAGACAAAATTAGTAAGTTGTTAATGCACTGTTGGAGACTCCTTTTTGGCAACAAAATCCTTTTGGTGAGATGGAGCAGGGACCTAACCCAAGAACCACAGTGTAGCAGTTAATTGCATAGATTCTGGAGCAGAGTTGCTTATATTTGAATCCTGCATCTGCTACTCACTGGTTATGTAACCTTGGGCAAGTTAGATAACCTTTCTGCACCTCAATTTTCTCATCTGTAAAGTAGGGCTTGTAATAAAACCTATCTCAAAGGATTATTGTGAGGGATTAAATGATATAATCCACCTAAAATGCTGAGAATAGTGCGTGGCTCATAAGAAACTCTCCACCCCATGTTGTTTATTATTATTTATTAAATGAAAAATTTTATAACATTTTTCTCTAAATATAAAATGAGGATTTTTCTTAATGAATGATTGTTTTGGACAACAAAATTAAGAGGCGGATACACTCAAAAAAATAGAGGAAATTATACAGAGAGGCAAGACAAAAAAAAAGTGTTAAGAGTGCATCTAATTGGAATAGGAGCTAAGAGTTTAAAGAAGATATTTATGTAAAAACTGTAACCCAGGAAAGTTTTACTGAGTAAAACTTTTATATAGAAGGGTCTCTCTTGCTCTTTTTCTATTTTTCTTATTTGTTTTCATAAAGTTTCTTGAACTTGGGCCCATTTAAAAGAATGTTCAGCATAGTGCCTTAATATGATATCTGGCATCTAGTAGTTACATAGTACCTTCTTTTTTTAAATGAATGAATAAAACCAGGATTTACATAGCAATTAACAAACTATTATAGAACACATTTTCAAAACAGGACCCTTATTTTCAGAATAAACATTTACGGTGTTTTGGGTTTTTTCTTTTTTCGCATTTTACAACTTTTTATTTGCATATTTAAAAAATTGTGCATTCCAATAATTAAAAATATTTGAACAAAAAAATAATGGCACTCTGATTAAACTGCATTTTGTAGCCTGCAGGACAGCTTGGACCAGCTTCCCACCCACTCTACCGTCTTGCCACCCAGCTGTTCACCAACATGCAAGTTCTTTTCCTTCCTTGCTAGCCAGACAAGCAGATGGGAGAGGCAGGCACGGCCTTCATTGTCAGTAGTTCTTTGATGAGAGGGGCAGCACAGTTACTCAAACTTGGTCCAACCTCCTTGCATCTTAACAAAATAAAACAGCTAAAAGAAGTAAAATAAGGCAATCCTTATGTAATGTACAGTGCATAATGGCAGGGCCCGCCTCATTACGATTCGCCTGCTTGCTTCTCCTCTTCAGTCGTTTCTTTGGAATGCAGTGGATTTTTCTCTTACGTTTTTGTCTTCAATTTAGACATCGAATTTCTCGATCTCAGCCATATCGGGCTTGTCAGACTTGGTTGCGAAGCGGGGCAAAGCGCGCGAGCGAGCGGAACCAGGTCTGCGCAATGGCCACCGCCAAGTGCCACATTATGGTTTTGAGTATCCAAACACTTTATTGCTTCTCCTGCCCTGTCACTGGACTGTGTGTTATTAAGTTGAATGCGTTCTTGCTGCAAGAAAACTTTCAGATTTTATTTCTATTGAGACCTTAGACATCATTTTCACATAATTTAGATTTTTTCCCTTTATATCAGAAAAATTATAAAATACTGGAGATTTATACCTCAATAATAAAAATTTAAGTAGCACTGAATTAAGAAAAGCTTTGTAGCACAGATGTCTGCCAAGGTTTTGTATCAAGAAGTGCTTGAAAATTTTCTCAGAGATCTCAAGATCCAACTACCTAAAATGTATATATTGTATAGTAATACACTTGTATATATTGTATAGGAAGAAAATAAAAATCAGAAAAGAGACTTATTTGTTAGTGTATCTTCACTTCATGCATGAGGATTTCGTCTTTTCTGCTCGATAGACCAATAACATTTGTCGGCTCTATCAGTTCCTTTACTCTAGAACTGACCGATACACTTCCGTGCCAACAGGGGGAGATAGTAGGAAATAGGAGATCCAGATCTGCGGCTTTTCTATCTTGCTTGTGGCTCAGACAGGAAGGTCTGGTGACAAATTCACTTCTGTGGGCCTACTGTCACTAGCGCTTAGCTAAGAATTGAGATGGAGGAGTCCGTGCCAACAGGGGGAGATAGTAGGAAATAGGAGATCCAGATCTGCGGCTTTTCTATCTTGCTTGTGGCTCAGACAGGAAGGTCTGGGGACAAATTCACTTCTGTGGGCCTACTGTCACTAGCGCTTAGCTAAGAATTGAGATGGAGGAGGAAAAGAAATGTCCCCGTTGTGAGGGTGAGCCGCAGCCTGGTCCTGGCTCCCGATCCTGTGAACCGTGTGCTCCACTGTTCAGGCCTGAGCCTTCCACATCAGAAGGCCACAGATATCAGGTAAGGGGCAATGCTGTCTCAGGCCTATGTCAGTCGGGGCCTGGACATTATCCAGGAATCCAGCAGATCATCAGTTTTAATACTTCTGTTTCAACGGGGAAGAATAATTTTTCTTGACTTCCAAATCTGGCAGAAGACTAAATTCTTTTGTACAATACTATCACTCAGACGCCAAGCCAAGGCCATTTAAAAAAATGAAAGGGGCTTGTTTTGCGTTTTCATTAGTTTTTTTTTTATTCACTTCTCATATTTGAGAAAAGTACGTGCTTTCTAAATATTCTAATACATGGGAAGGTAAAAGAGAGTGTGGTTTTGTTGGAAATTTGAAGAGAAAATTTGCTTAGTTTAAAATCTGTGATGGTAGCAAGATTTCTGTTCTAAATTTCAGTTTCTTTTCTAGCTGGTTAGCTCAATTTAACCTTGCTGTTTTCAATTTCTTTCCCCAAGGAAAATAATAATATTTTATTAATGAATAATTTAATTATTTGATAATAAGTATTGAATAATTTAATTATTCAGTAATGAGTATTTTGAATAATTGGTGGCAATAACTGATAAAGCTTTTTATTATAATACATAACTTTTTTACTATAACTATCGTATAATTCAATATTAATTTTTTTTTTCAAATTTTATTTTATTTGGTCAGTATACAATGTGGTTGATTATTGTGGCCCATTACTGAAACCTCCCTCCTTCCTTCCTCTCCTCTCTCCCTCCCAACAACCACATATCTGCTTGTTGTATCAACTTCAAGGAATTGTAATTGTTGTGTCTTCATCCCCACCCCCTAGTTTATTTGTGTATTTATTTATCTATTTTTAGCTCCCACAAATAAATGAGAACATGTGGTATTTCTCTTTTTGTGCCTGACTCGTTTCACTTAATATAATTCTTTCTAGGTCCATCCATGTTGTTGCAAATGGCAGTATTTCATTCTTTTTTATAGCAGAGTAGTATTTCATTATGTAGATATACCACACTTTCCTTATCCACTCTTCTGATAATGGACATTTGGGCTGGTTGCAACTCCTAGCTATTGTAAATAGTGCTGCAATGAACACTGGAGAACAGGTATACCTTCGACTTGGTGATTTCCATTCCTGTGGGTATATTCCTAGCAGTGGGATAGCTGTATCATATGGTAGATCTATCTGCAATTGTTTGAGGAACCTCCGTACCATTTTCCATAGAGGCTGCACCATTTTGCATTCCCACCAACAGTGTTTGAGTGTTCCTTTTTCTCCGCAACCTCGCCAGCTTTTATCATTCACAGTCTTTTGGATATTAGGCATCTTAGCTGGGGTGAGATGGTATCTCAGTGTGGTTTTTATTTGCATTTCCTGAATGCTGAGTGATGTTGAGCATTTTTTCATATGACTGTTGGCCATTCGTATATCTTCCTTTGAGAAATGCCTATTTTAGATCCTCTGGCCATTTTTTAATTGGGTTACTTGTTTTTTTTTTTTTGTTGTGAAGTTGTTTGAGTTCCTTGTATATTCTGGATATTAATCCTTTGTCAGATGTATATTTTCTCCTACTCTGTTGGTTGTCTTTTAACTCTGTTAATTGTTTCTTTTCCTGTGCAGAAGTTTTTAGTTTGATATAATTCAATTGTTTATTTTTCCTTTGGTTACCCATGCTTTTGGGGTCATATTCATGAAGTCTGTGCCCAGCGCCACTTCCTGGAGTGTTTCCCCTACGTTTTCTTTAAGAAGTTTTATTGATTCAGGGTGTATATTTAGTTCTTTAATTCATTTTGAGTTGATTTTGGTATATGGTGAGAGGTATGGGTCTAGTTTCATTCTCCTGCATATGGATATCCAGTTCTCCCACCACCATTTGCTGAAGAGGCAGTCTCTTCCCTAGTGTATAGGCTTGGTGCCTTTGTCAACGATCAGATGGCTGTAGGTGTGTGGGTTGATTTCTGGATTCTCTATTCTATTCCATTGATCCGTGTATCTGTTTTTATTCCAGTACCATCCTGTTTTGATTATTATAGCTTTGTAGTACAGTTTAAAGTCAGGTCGTGTTATGCCTCCAGCTTTATTTTTTTTGCTCAGAATTGCTTTGGCTATGCGTGGTCTTCTGTTATTCCATATAAATTTCTGGATAGTTTTTTTGATTTCTGAGAAAAACGCCATTGGAATTTTGATGGGGATTGCATTGAATTTGTATATCACTTTGGGTAGTATGGACATTTTCACAATGTTGATTCTTCCAATCCAAGAGCATGGGATATCTTTCCATCTTCTGGTGACCTCTTTAATTTCTCTTAACAGTGGTTTGTAGTTCTCATTATAGAGATTTTTTCACATCCTTGGTTAATTCTATTCCTAAGAATTTTTTTTTTTTTTTGGTGGCTATTGTAAATGGGCTAGCTTTTTTGCTTTCTCTTTCTGCATGTTCACTATTAGAGAATAGAAGTGCTATGATTTTTGCATGTTGATTTTGTATCCTGCAACGTTGGTGAAATCACTTATCAACTCCAAGAATTTTTTTGTAGAGGCTTTAGGCTGTTCGATATATAGGATCATGTCATCTGCAAACAGGGACAGTTTGACTTCATCTTTTCCAATCTGGATGCCCTTTATTTCCTTCTCTTCTCTGATTGCTCTGGCTACTTTCAGCTTTTCCCCATTCAGGATGATATTGGCAGTGGGTTTATCATATATGGCTTTAATTATGTTGAGATACTTTCCATTTATACCTAACTTGTAGAGAGTCTTTATCATGAACGAGTGTTGAATTTTATCAAATGCTTTTTCAGCATCTATAGAGATGATCATATGGTCCTTGTGTTTGGCTTTATTAATATGGTGTATCCCATTTATTGATTTGCATATGTTGAAACAACCTTGCCTCCCTGGGATGAATCCCACTTGATCGTGGTGTATAACTTTGCATATGTGTTGATGTTTTCTGTTACCTAGTATTTTCTTGAGGGTTTTTGTGTCTATATTCATCAGGGATATTGGCCTGTAGTTTTCTTTTTTAGTTATATGTTTACCTAGTTTTGGTATCAGGGTGATGTTTGCTTCATAGAATGAGTTTGGGAGACTTGCCTCTATTTCAATCTTTTGGAATAGTTCGTAGAGAATTGGTGTCAATTCCTCTTTGAATGTTTGGTAAAATTCTGCTGTGAATCCATTTGGTCCTGTGCTTTTCTTTGTTGGGAGCCTTCTGATAACAGCTTTAATCTCTTTTATTGTTCTTGGTCTGTTGAGATTTTCTACATTGTCTTGGCTCAGTTTTGGTAGTTTGTGTGTGTCCAGAAATTTATCCATTTCCTCTAGATTTTCAAATTTGTTGGCATATAGTTGTTTATAGTAGTCTCGAATGATTCCTTGTATTTCAAAGGTATCAGTTGTAATATCACCTTTTTCATTTCTAATTTTTATTATTTGGGTCCTGTCCTTTTTTTAGTTAGCCATGCTAATGGTTAGTCAATTTTATTTATCTTTTCAAAAGACCAACTTTTTGATTCATTGATCTTTTGTATTGTTTTTCGGGTTTTAATTTTATTAAGTTGTGCTCTGATCTTAATGATTTTGTTCCATCTGCTAACTTTGGGTTTGGATTATTCTTGTTTTTCAAGTTCTTTAAGGTGAAGTATTAGGTTGTTCACTTACCATCTTTCCATTCTTCTGAAGTAAGCACTTAATGTGATAAATTTCCTGCTTAGTGCTGCTTCTGCAGTATCCCAGAGGTTTTGTATGATGTGTCATTGTTTTCATTAGTGTCAGTAAATTTTTTGATTTCCTGTTTGATTTTTTCATGGCCCCATATGTCATTAAGTAGAATGCTGTTTAATTTCCATGTGTTTGTATAGTTTCCAGAATTTCATTTGTTATTGATTTCTAATTTTAATCTATTGTGATGTGAAAAAATACATGGGATAATTCCAATTTTTTTGAATTTGTTGAGACTTGATTTGTGACCTAACAGTGATCTGTCCTGGAGAATGATCCATTTGCTGATGAGAAGAATGATTATTCTGAGGTTGTTGGAAGGAATGTTCTGTAGATATCTGCCAAGTCCAATTGGTCTAACGTGTTGTTTAGATCTTGTGTTTCACTGCTGATTTTTTGCCTAGATGATCTGTCCAATATTGATAGTGGGGTGTTCATGTCCCCTGCTATTATGGTGTTAGTGTCTATCTCCTTCTTTAGGTCTAATAGAGTTTGCTTTAGAAATCTGGCTGCTCCGACATTGGGTGCATATATATTTATGATTGTTATGTCTTCTTGATGGGTCACTTCTTTTATCACTATGTAGTGGCCCTCATTCTCTTTTTATGATTTTTATTTTAAAGTCTATTTTATCAGATATAAGAATAGCTACTCCAGCTCATTTTTCATTTCTGTTTGCATGGTAAATCTTTTTCCTTTCTTTCACTCTCAGTCAGTGTGAGTCTTTATAGGTGAGGAGGGTCTCTTGAAGGCAGCATATAGTTGGGTCATCCTTTTTAATCCAGTCAGCCAGTCTGTGTTTTTGATTGGGGAATTTAATCCTTTTACATTAAGAGTTGTTATTGAAAAGTGTTGATTTACTCCTAGCATTTTATTGATTTTTTTGGACATCTTAAGTGTCTTTTGTTCCTTTCTTTCTGATTTACTGTATGTCTTCTGTGTTTCTTGGTTTCTTGGGTTGTAAGTAAACTTTTTTTTCCTCTCTTCATTGTTGGCAGTTTTATTTTACTAGTGGGTTTTGATTTTTCTTGAGTTTTTATGGCAGTGGTAGTTATTTTTTAGGTACCAAACCCAGTGCTGCGTTGAGAATTTTTTGTAGGGCTGGTTGTGTGGTAGTGAACTCCTGCTGTTTTTGTTTGTCTGAGAAATACACTATTTGCCCTTCATTTTGGAAGGATAGCCTTGCAGGGTAGAGTATTCTTGGTTGGCAATCTCTGTCTTTTAGTATTTTGAATATATTGCATTCCTTTCTGGCTTTTAGGGTTTGTGATGTTAGTCTGATTGGGGCTCCCTTATAGGTTACTTGAT